TTGTTTCCCCAATCTATTCGGAGATTAGCAGGTTTGAAGACCCCTATTGACATCTATTCTCAATCATGGAGCTCACTGGATGGTCCCTCATTTTAACCTGTGTCCCAGAATTATTATTTTGGGGAGAAAATTAAGAGAAGACTAACAGAGGGAATGGATCAAGATCACATGATGTGTTAGTATCGTTTTACAATACTTGGAAAGGCCCCATTTGGAATATTGCATCAGTTTTGGTCGCCACAATATAAAAAGATGTTGAGATTCTGGAAAGAGTGCAGAGAAGCGCAACAAAGATGATTAGGGAACTGGAAGCTAAAACATCAAAATGGTTGCTGGAATTGGATATGTTTAGTCTAATGAAAAGAAGGATTAGGGATGACACGATAACAGTCTTCCAAGAAGCTCCCACAAAGAAGAGGGGGTCAAACCTATTCTCCAAAGTATCTGAAGGCAGGACAATAAGCAATAAGCAAATTAATCAAGTACAGATCCAACCTAGAAATAAGGAGAAATTGCCTGACTGTTAGAGCAATCAATCACTGGAACAGCTTGCCTTCAGAAGTTGTGGATGCTCCATCACTAGAGGTTTTGAAGAAGAGATCAGATAGCCATGTCTGAAATGGTATAGGGTCTTCTGCTTAAGCAGGGGATTGATTAAAAGACTTCAAGGTCATTTCCAACTCTGTTAGTCTAGTTTAGTCTAGTCTAGTCTAGTCTAGTCTAGTCTAGTCTAATCTATAAAGGTAGTCCTCTACTAATGACCAGTCACTTAACTAACCCAGAGCTCATTTTCAGAATTATAACAGATGCATACAAGCCCTTGGTCACATGATAGATTTATGACCTTTTTTTGCTAGTTTCCAGTTTTTACTTCCACTTTCCAGCAAAAAAGATTCACTTAAGACTCTAGTTAAAACAGTTGTAACATCGAAGCTGGTTATGAAATGTTCTGGCATATGACTGCAATGATTTATGGCCATAATCCAAGCTCCATTGTGGTCATAAGTCAAGGACTACCTGTATGCTGTTTGACTTGTATGTATATATAAGAATAAGCAATTCCCTTCCAGTCTCCTCTGATTCTTTCTTGTAAATCCCTCTTACAATCATCCCCCATTCTTTTGGCAACCAAAACCTTGGGAACACACATTTACCAATAGAGTCAATCTATCCTTCATAAAATAAGGAAGAATAGGCTTCTGATTTGATGGACCAAAGCTTTTTAGAGCTCTAGAAGTAATAACTGTAAATGATTCTAATAAATAATAATCAGCAATGGCCTGAACGGGCAATGAAAATTAATAGGGAGCCACAAAGGCTGAACAAGCATGATTTATCTAAGGCATTTACAGTCTTGCTTGTTTAGTGCATAAATCTGCTTGCAAATCAGTGTATATTAGGAATGTAAAAAAAAAAAACATGTTTTGGACTGGACATTCCAGAGAACTCTAAAATATTCAATTCACTCTCTAGACTAAGACATGTATGTTTGGAACATACATACATAAATACATACACACACGCATACATTTATATCCAAATTATATGCTACTCATCTTGTTATTCAAAGTCATCCCTATACATACTCTGAGAGTCAATTGCTGTTGTAGTTAATGCACCAGACTAGTACCATACGTTCTAATCCTGCCTTAAGTACCACACCAGCTGGGTGACCTTGGTCCAATCATTCTCTCTCAGCCCTAAGAAAAAGTCAATGGCAAGCCTTTTCTGAAATTCTTGCCAAGAAAACTGTATGGACTTGTCCAGGCATTGGCTCAGAGTCATGAACGACTCAAGGATTCACAAACAGGAAAGCATACTCTCTGCATCCATCAGAAACTACATAGCAGAATGAAGATTAATTTAATCTTCAAAATCCTATTGAAAGCAGTTTTATGTAGGATAAGCAAAGGACCATAATTTGGTAGTAAGAATATCTGCTTTACACATGCTGGATGTTCAATTCATAGTATCTAGATTGGCCTGGACAAATTCCAGCCTGAAACATAGGAGAGCTGCTGTTAGTCTTATTAATAGATCAAACCATAAAATGCAACATTTTATTTTATTTATTACATTTCTGTGATTCCAAAAACAATCAGAAATAGCTAATGGTGTCCTAGGGGTGATCCAGCCTGAAACAGATATGTTTCATCCAGAAAAAATCAAATAGCAGAAAGCCATGGTTTCTCATTACCTCCAAACCATGTAAAAAAAAAATACATGCTGCTTTGTTGCAATGGATTTTAATGTAAAGCTGCAGAAAGTGATTATAGATCTTTTTCCAGTTCTAAAACATCAGATGTCGCTGATTGGACATCTGCCCCATGTAATCTAGCAGTTTGTTTTCAGAGTGTCTATCCAAAGAAACAAGAAAGTTTCCCAATAGATAGATGTCCCAGGCAGTCACACGGCCGACAAAGCCAATGTCTTCCATGAATTGGTCCAACCCTATTTTGAATCCAGCTACGCTGGTTGTCAGCACCAGATCTCTAGTTAGTGAATTCCAAGTTTAATTACATATTGTATGAAAAAAGCATTATTTTTGTTTGTCCTGATTCTTTCAAGATTCAATTTTCATTGGTCCTAGGATTTTGTACGCATTATCAACATCATGCCTAATCCTGCACATCCCAATCATGTCTCCTCTCATTCATTTTGACAGAACTTCAGAAATAGAAAACTGAGAATATTTAGTATGAACATCTATGCAGTTTGGAGGTACATGAATAAAATGATACGACTTATAAGAGGTGATAAATTTTCTTAGGTGTTGCAGTGCATATAAATGGAAAATCCTAAGAACTGTTAGGAAATCAAAGAGGTCAAACAACAACTTTATAATCGTATCCGTAATGGTTTTCAAACTAAGTAATTTATATTTAACAAAAAAATAGAAATCAAAATGTAAGTCCAGTAACAAAGCTGGAAATGAAAAAAAAATGAAACTTTCATCTTCATGTAGAGTTTTAATTTATATTAAGAAAATCTAGTGCCTCCATTTAATAAGAGTTTACTCAGTATTTTATTATTCTGTTTAAAATACTTAACAAATATTTACATAGAATCCCTCTGTATGTATATTATCAATATTGGAGTTACATTCATTTTATCAACATTTATTCTTCTCCATAAACTCATCAAATTTGTTAACCATCAATTTATATCACTATTGATACAAACAAAACCATTTGAAATGTTTATCTTTACAAAATGAAAAATTCAAGGAATTCAAACAATAAGTAATGCTTCATTTTAACAAATACCTATAGATCCCATAGTAAGAACATTAAACATTCCAATTATTTAAATGGTAACCAGATAATAGACCAAAATCTTGTGCCAGTTATACTGTACATTTGGTTTAAAAATGTAATTGTCAGTAAGTCATAAAATATCACCAGCATAATACCACAATTTGTATTCCGCTCTGACCATCTTAGTAACCAGAATATCTTTGTATTGTTTAATGAAACAGGACAATGATTTCAAAGTCAAACTAAATATAAAAAGAGAAAGTAGGCATTGTTTTACAAGTTCAATGCAACATCCTATTCAGAAAAAGAAATAATACCATTTGTGACAAGTCTACTATGTAAGAATATTATTGTTACATAGAACAATATTTAGCAAGATGTTCCCTACAAAATTAAGTTGAACCATATCAATGCCCTTCTCAGCATCTAATGAAATAGCTATCACCAAATCTGATTTATCTGATTGGATACCAAATATGTTCATTAATAATCTCACATTATCCAAGCCCAATGCCCTTTCTTAAGACTGCATGACATAAACTATTGAAGGTAATATTATAGACTGCAATCTTCAGTGCAAAATCACTGTAACAATTTTAGCCTCAACATTTAACTTAGAAGCCTTTGTAGCAGGGGTGACAAACTGCTGGACCATCGGCCAGATGGGTCACGTGGAAACCGTGCCCATCCCAGCTCTGGCAAGAGGAAAAAAGTCACGATATGTCACGACACGTCACATGACATGGCAAGTTTGACACCCGTGCTTTGTAGGATCACTATTACATGGCTTCATGCAGGTGTCTTTGTAAACTTCCTCTTTTGCCATTCTGAAGGTAAATATTCAATACACAAGACCCATTTTACAGGGAAAAAATGAATTATACAACAACAACACTATATGACAAGAAAGTAAATTCATTGGGGAGGACTGGAACTTTTGCTAGGCCATCTTGCAAAACAAAACGAGACAATAAAAGATAAGCAAATGTTCTTTTGAATAACTTTAAAATAAAAAGAATTGCTTCTCCTTATATTACAACCAATGAGAAAAAGAAAAGCATAACTCCACATGTATAATCAGCCAGCCAGGAATTACCTACAGCCCTCTCCAATAAATTTTGTATGATAATATCGCCATCGTAATTTCCAATTGCTTTTTATGAGCAGTATTTCCACTCCATAGTAAGCCACAATAGATGGTGTGAGTTGCAGTGAAGTTATTGTAGCTGACCTGATCTAAAGCACTCTCAGAACCACTAACAGCATGAACTGAAATAAATAACAGTGATGAAACACTGCCAGCGTTACAAGTTATTTGCAAAACAGGTTAGTTACGACACACGCCTGATGAAATGTCTTGGGATTAAAGCTTAGCAACAGAAAAGGATAGTAATATGGAGTGCAAGCATCTAAGAACTAATGGAAAAATAAGCTGCTGAGATGAAATTAGCTGAGGGCAATTCTCCATCAAGGGCCAGCCTCACTTATTTATTTAAATATAACATGAATTCCCATTCACTGGAGAAACCCTGAGAAACTTACAATGAAACAGACTTAAAATGGCAGACAGCCACTCACAAAAATTATTATTTTTTTGCAATGAAATCTCACTGGCCAACTGGGGATCAGCTACTCAACCTACCTAAATAAATAAATAACAGTAATAATACATATAATCTGAAAAAAAATCATAAGGATTAAAAGAAAGAATGTGCTTGTAACTTTGCTTACAAGCATACAAACCTTATGATAGCAGCATCCAATGTTGGTATGGCCTCCCAAGACAAATGAGGATAGTTTTTCCTTGTTCTGCTTTGGATATAGACAAAAAGCAAAGTTTCACAATTTGGGGAGGGGGTAGTTTTTGATCCTATGTTTGTTGGATGTATGGTAAGTAGCATTTTATTGGATGTTAATTAGAATTTGGTGGGCAGAAGGAGAGATTTATAAAGGACATAAATGGCTTCTAACAATATCACTGTTTGCTGTCCCACTGGTCATCAGTGGTATTGTGAACATATAAAGAAATTGAAAACAGTTGTCAAAACCTAAGTTTCTTTTAGTGTAAAATATGAAATATATGCCAAGTTAACTTTTCCAATACAATATAGACAGACTTTGATTTATAATACAGTTTAAATGGAAGGTAGCAACACTTTCATTGTCATTTGATGATTCCTCCAAATGGATTTGAGAGAATTTTGTCACAAAAAATTCCAAGAAGAATCATGTTTTCTCTTCATCTTGCAAGAGAGTTTTCTATGTCTAAGATAAGAATCTGTGCATCATGGAGAACATTTTTTTTTATTTTAAATGATACAAATATTTAGAATTTGGGAAATAGTGTCATTGTTCTTGAATCCCAAGATCATTTGAGCTTGGCATTGTCTGTTTGAAGCATCTTGGAACTTGTGTCTATTTTTCCATAAACTCAATGCTTGATTCATTACCAGCGATAAAATTCATTGTTCAATATTTTGTTTTCTTAATTCCTTAAAAATCAGGTGTAAAAACATAAAACATTTTTGAGACACATATTTGAATATGTTCTCATCCACATCTAATTATTTGCTGGGATCTGAATAGCAACAAGAAGGTAGAAAACAGATGTTTGGAAATGGTTCAACATCTTTAAGAGATTACTGCTCAATCCATGGGTGATTCATGAACAACTTTTAGAAATGACTTATTATAATTCTAGAAATGTATGATGCAAGAGATGATCTCAGTCCCAGTAGAAAAATGAAATCTGAAAATTAAGGCATAAAGTCAAGAGTTTAACCCAGGGATCTTCAAACTTGGCAACTTTAAGACCTGTGGACTTCACCTCCCAAAATTCTTCAGCCAGCCATATAGAACATCTTTGAAAAGTTACCAAAACAAATAGAAAAATGTATTGTCTTATTGACTATACACTCAAAATATGTAACAAATATATTCCATATGACATACCTATACTGGTCAGCTATTTATTATGGAAATGAATATACCTTTTATTCAGTCCCATTGTGATAGCAGTCTAAGATTAATAGTAATCTGAGAATACCAAATAAAGGATTATTTCTGATCAATTGCTGATTGAAGTTTGTCCCTACGGATAAATGTTGATCTGTTACATTTATATCGTACCTTTTGTACAGCATTCAAGGCATATATAGCGTTCTCTCCTTCTCCCCTGCCCCCCCCCCCAAGTCTATAAGATCAACTGTGCTTCCAAGAATGACTAAACCTCTGTGACTGAGGCTAGACTAGCATCTGATTCTTCCCTGTTCTGGTTTGACACCCTAGCCACTACATTATATTGGGTTCTTGGATTGGTGAGATGCTCAGAGAAAGGGGCAATAATAGAGCTTGGAGGGAAAGAGGGACCTGGGAGAAAAAGCAGAATCACCCAAAGAGCGCTTGCAGATTCATCAATTGAGGAAAGAATTACCGTAGACCATCATTTCCCTATGCTTGCCCTAGATTGCAGTTAGCAATCTTTGAACAATGTGCTAGGGAGCTCAATTCAGTATTCTTTATTTTCTTCCTCCCTTTCTTTCTTCCTAGATCAGTTTCAAGCCATTTGGAGAAGCTTAGGAGTTATGGGAGGGGTTGGAAGCAGCTGTATCCCAAGGCCTACCATTTCTATCCTTAATTTGTAGACAGTAACAGTTTGCCCCAAATCAGCCCATCAGCTGATTTCTGTTATACAGACTTAGACTACCCATCACTTTCTCAGACAGATACAGAAACTGTTTTAAGAGGTAACTTCTTGCCCCAAAGATTTCCATGTCGACAAGATAAGTCACTTAAATATCATGAGACATTGCCCCAATGAAGCACTCATAGCATGCATGGTGCTAAAAATCTTAATAGAACCATATTTTTATTGATTATCAGGTGTTTCATTTCATTTTCTTCAGAGGAAATATTTATATTTTTTTCAAATGTTTGCTGTTATTATTTTCAACAATTCCCCACATACCAACAGCCTCAAAATACATTGCTGAAATTCAGGGTAAAAGAATAAATCATGAAGATAACAAAGTCATATTTCATCAAGAGACAGTATTTTTGGTTATAGATAAAATGCAATACTGTAATTATTGACATATTGAAGGATAAAAGACAGACTGCTGTGATTTTGTATGATGCATAAAACATGCCAATTTTGAATCCAAAATTTATCTTCTGACAATGGAAGATTGAATAATGTATTAAAAACTGAGCAAAGCAGATTACTCACGGGGTATTCTACATTATGAATCATAAAGGGAAAATTAAAAAATACCCACTATATTTTGTTACTCCAGAAAATTCTACAAGCTCAAGTTCTATATATTATGTAGTAACACATGCACTTGAAGTTCTTAAATAACAATTCCAAATATTTCTGATCATATGCTAGAACTAATAAGAGTTAGGATTCAGCAGCTGGAAGAAATTCCCTGTTCTGCCTTATAGAAATTTTATTAAAAGTCTTGGAACTCTCATAAACGAAAAATAAATAATTCTTCTATTTCCCACAAAACTTGTCCACTGTTATGGCAAGTATTGTTAAAATGTGATTCTTCATCCAATCAGCCTTATAAGGTTTCTGTTTCCTTGACTGTCACTGTACTTCTTACTGATTGCATTTCTAACCTCCATAAATTGTACCTATAACCAGAACTGATATTAGTTGTAGAGTTCACCTCTGCATTTCTTTTAACAGAACTTTCAGAACATATACTAATCATTCAACAAAAGTTGAAAAAGAAAAATGAGGAAGAACTTGATACAATTATAAATATTTCACCTCCTTCTATTACTGCTACTGAGATCCAGTTTGTATAGTGGTTAAGGCATCAGGCTAGAATAAGGAGACTGAGTTTAGTCCTCCCTTGGCACAATGCCAGCTAGATGACTTTGGACATTTTCTTTCAGTCCTAGAAAACAGGCAACGGCAAACCACTGAAAAAACTTGTCAAGAAAACTGTTGTCTGGGACGTTTCTCAGAATCAGACATAATTGAATAGTTGTGGAGGCTATCGGCAATCTTAGATGCAAATTTCTTGGTAACCTTCAGGCCTGCCGCCAACTCAGATCATTAACCTCATCAGAAGATAAAAATTCTTACTGCTGGCAGAAAGCATTTATGTTTCATCAGTAACATGAGTTGTACATATTTCCAGATTAAACCACCTGCCTGATGTTCTGGCTATGGGTACAAGCAGAAAAGCTTCAGCAAGATCACGATTAGTAGCAGGAAATATCCAGCTCATTGGATTTTTTCTTCCTTGTAATTTATTTCTACATGAAGAAAATTCATTTTACTCTATATTTATTTATAGTAATATAAAGCACTGAAAACATCACCTTTGTATTTGAATATGTTATCAGAAGCAATATTATAAGCTAAACTAAGTGATAATGTATGAAGAGGGAATGAGTCTTTATAATGACCCACAGAGTAGAGATTTTCACTTTTGGAGAGCTACTGGGCACATTTGGAATTTTGAGTACATGTTGTTGGCACTCACACAAATAGTCTGTAAAACATTTTCTCATTCATACTACAACAGCCATGGGAGGTATTTCCAGTATTGTCAGCTCCAATAATTCCCCCTTCTGCATGATCTGGATTAACCTTCATTCTATTCAGGGCAAATGGACCTATTTTCAAACGAAGCATTGGACATTGTCAAAAATAAGGATGAGGCTGGAGGCTGCCAACTTGCTTTAAAGCATGCCAACTTCCATTCTGCAAAAATGAAAGAAACTTCTGAAAAAGTCTAAGTCAAGGATCAGAAGCCAGACAAGTGCCATCTGTTAATACTTTAGCATTCTGCAATATCAGTTTGGAAAATTAACGCAGAGAGTAACAGGTACAATATTACAAGAGCACAAAAAGTATACCACAGCCTAAAACTATTAAATAAAAGGTGCACAGATGGGGTGTTGATGGGGGGGGGGGACAAATCATGCTACATATCAGCAAAAGGTTTTCTACATATTTTACTGCCATCCAGATCGCAGCTTATAGTTACCAAAGCTGCACTATTTGTATAAAAGTAGACCATTTTTCCTCTTAACGTATAACCTCAGCTTGTACATTCATTTATATAAGCGGACCCACAAAAAAGCACAGGGTTCCAGGTAAGAGTTTGAAAGCCTCACTACGCATCCCAAAGGTGCTTTTTCAGGAGGCAACTGGACTCTCTTGTTTCTCCTGAAAAAGCACCTTTGGGACTATGGTGACCTGGATGACTGAGAATCTCCACAGATACTTCACTACGCATATGTTGAAAGCAATCCAGCCCTCTGGTGCTCAGCATCCCTATACCGATTGGAAGGTTTGATCATGGAGATGTTTGGAGAGAGAGTGGCTTCCGCTAGGAAACGTCTGTTGCGTTATGCCGCTTCGCGTCCACAACCCGGAAGTAATTCCTCTTGGGTCTCTGACACGTAGCTTCCCGGAGATCGAAGGTAAAGCGGGGAGGAAGAGCTTCGCGACGGTGTGAGAAGGGCAGGCGAGGGGAGGATCGTTGCCTCGCCGGGGAAGGAGGCTTCCAGGGAAGGTAAGCTTCGGGGAGAGGGGAGCAGGGTGGTGCCCGAATTTGTCAAGAGGATCCGAGTCTGTCGCGGGGGCTCCTTCAGGCTCCAGGGAAAGAAAAAGGGAAACCATCTATCAGGCAGCGAGAGTCGTCCCAGGAGCGTCTTTCTTCGCTTCTGTGTTTTTTCTGGCTGCGAGGACGGGATTTCGGAGTGCGTGGCTGAAATGCCCTAACATTGCTGGTGGTCTCTCGAAACCCAACGTTTTTGCATTCTCAGATCCTGTGTTTTTCTTGGTGGCAAGGAGGTGGTCAAGCTATTCTTCCAAAGCACCTGAGGGCAGGACAGGAAGCAACGGATGGAAACTAATCAAAGAGAGAAACAACCTAGAACTAAGGAGAATTTTCTTAACGGAACAATTAACCAGTGGAACAACCTGCCTCCAGAAGCAGTGAATGCTCCAACACTGGAAGTTTTTAAGAAGA